TGTAATCAGGTCCTGCGCTATAGGGAATCTCCTGTTTATTTAAAGCCCTGGATGGAGCTGTATTTGTTTATCATGGGCTATGTTGCTGTGCCAGTGTTTTGAAATTCACTCCCCTTGGATCCATAACTCTTCACCCTGAAAAGCGCTCCAACTTTTATTTGCTGGATCACAGCGGCTCTCATAAAGTTTCTTCTTTCTCCAGCCAAGGCCACTAATTATGACACTCTAATAGCTTTTTATCATATTGTATCTCTAGTGCAAGGTCGTGGTGTTATGAAAAGGCGTACAGCAGCCAGGGCCAACACTACTACTGTGGATGTGTGCCTCCTTATCTGGCAATCTACTGAAGCGTTTCCAAACATTTGTGAGCTACGCCGCTTTTTTATTGAAATTATCACAGGCAAAGAATTAAACTATGTCGATAAGGAGGTAGCGGTTACATATTTTATTATTATTATTATTATTTATTATTCACGGTTATCAACGTGATGAAAAGAAACGAAGATATAATATAACAAATGATGATATAATATTTTCATTCCTTTTAAACTTGCTTGATTGAAACTTATTGTACTTTTATACAACTTACATAGAAAATATTCACTTTTATTTTATTTGGCCGTAGGTTGAAAAACGCTGATCTTTACCTAATGTGTTTTAAAAATTAACATTATAATCTGTAAAAAATCGAAAACTTATATTTGTATTTTCCCTCTCATTTCTGTCTATGCCTCTATATTGAACTCCTGGTAGATTTAACTATTTTGAACTTGACTTTATTCCTTGTGGTAACATGTGGTAAGTTAATTTGCAAAAACAGTTTTGTTTTATTGTTCAAACCGTTTTGTTACTGGCAATTCTGTAAGAAAAGATTTGCTCAATCAGGAGTGAAACTGACATTTGTATTGCTTTAAAACACATCTGGTTTGTTATAAGCCTTTCACATATTTCTCTAATGACACTGATTTGTTTTTGCTAATAACTCTTCAAGTGTTTTCTGTAATGCATTGACAGTAACCGGCACTGACTATCTCACTATGAGTGTGTAGAAGAGAAAGCATCTATAGACAATCAATAGTCTTTTGTTCTTAAACTATGAAAATAAGCAGGGCCCCAGTGGAATTGAATCTAACATTGATTTTTTTCTCTTGAATGAGCAGGCTCCAGGTAATCACATGTGGCCATTTTGTTTACCGCTTCTGCTGCTATTGAATGTGGATTACGTTATCTTCATTCTGCAACTTTGAAAACCGATAAATCTATGAACTGTACGAAACTTCTGCCGCACTATGGGCAGTAATCAAAAAGTCGACTATGGTCTACAGCTTTCCTTCGAGAGAATGTGTCTTGGCGGGGAAAAAAAGGTTTATAGCTTGGCCAGAGACACAGAAGGTGCTTTTGATGACTCTGCAGTTGTTCTAATTCAGTGTCAAATGCTGTGACCAGTTTACTTAAGGGGTCAGTGGCTCCAAATGTGCTGCTTCCCCAGGGACCCAACGTGATGCAGGACACGCTCTCAAAGTCACTGAAGTCTCTCATGCTCTCTTCAACACCAGTTTTGTTTCTAGAAGGATTAAGGATGCAGTATATTGTTGCCATATTTGTGGCCGGCCCTAGCATGGGAATAATGCTGAGGATGATAGGTTTCAAACAGTTGCAAGACTAGAACAAAGTGGTTGTGCACGTTTATTATTTGGGCGATATGATATTGGAGAATGAGCTTTGAAACCTTTTCTTGTGTAACACATACATAAACATATGGGTGAGGTCTCCTCCAGAAAATAAAACTGGTGGTAATTTTGTTAATGATGTGGACTGTTATAAAAATGTTAAAAATGACTGTACATTACAGTACATTGTCCCTTGAACCAGTGTTTCCCACAGGTTTGAAGGCAATGTGTGGTGGTCGTCGGCGGGGGGGGGTACAGTGGTAGAGGACAATCTTGAGGTCATGAATCCAGTGAAATTAGTCGCACACCTTTTTACAGTAATAAGTTACAGCAGATCAAAAGTGACATGTTTTGACAATTTTTAGGCTATTTTGGACCAAAATGGCTGCTTTAAATCAATATTTCTACAGTAAAAGTTTCTGGTCTTTGGTACAGTGGTAGAGGGCAATCATGAGGTCGTGAATCCAGTGAAATTAGTCGCACACCTTTTTACAGTAAAAAGTTACAGTAGATCAAAAGTGACATGTTTTGACTATTTTGGAGGTATTTTGGACCAAAATGGCTACTTTACCTCAATATTTCTCAATATTTCTACAGTAAAAGTGTCTGGTCTTTGGTACAGTGGTAGAAGGCAATGTTGAGGTCATGAATCCAGTGAAATCAGTTGCACACCTTTTTACAGTGAAAAGTTACAGTAGATCAAATGTGACATGTTTTGACCATTTTTAGGCTATTTTGGACCAAAATGGCTACTTTAAATCAATATTTCTCAATATTTCTACAGTAAAAGTGTCTGGTCTTTGGTACAGTGGTAGAGGACAATCTTGAGGTCATGAATCCAGTGAAATTAGTCGCACACCTTTTTACAGTAAAAAGTTACAGTAGATCAAAAGTGACATGTTTTGACTATTTTGGAGGTATTTTGGACCAAAATGGCTACTTTACCTCAATATTTCTCAATATTTCTACAGTAAAAGTTTCTGGTCTTTGGTACAGTGGCAGAGGGCAATAATAAGGTCATGAGTCAAGTGAAATTAGTCGCACACCTTATTCCAGTAAATAGTTACAATACTTGAAAATTGCACTAGCGGACCAAATTGTGTACTTTATACATGTAAACAATAGAGTGGCTATCCTCCTGAGGACTCACAATCTGCCGGAGGAATCGTAGGGGGCTGGTGCTATGTGTGCCGGGTGGCATCTCTATAAGGTTTTAATCACAAAAACGTGTCTCCCTGACCCCAGCGCGCTTTCTGTTCGATAAAAATGGGTGACTCCGAAAGGACGTTCCGCTGTTACCGTAAGTTCTCAACAAAACGCGCACCGTCTTTTCCCCGATGCGGGCCGCATGTTCATAGAGCTGAAAGATGCGGGCCACTTTACCGCGGTAAATTAATAGACACAGCTGCTTACAGCGATGATCGCTGATGGAGACGGAGACACGCGGTGTGCACGAAGGGGAGGGGCTGTGTGTGTGTAGGTCTCTGTATGTGGGAGAGACGTGTAGCTTGAGTGAGAGTTACGAAGGGCCGCCACATTTTAAACCCCCCTCCCCGCTGTCAAATTGACCGCTGTGGCGGCACTATACGATGCATGTTTTAAATAGCGTAACAAAAAAAATATATATATAATAATACGAAACGCAATTTGTGGCGGGCGGTCTCTAATCTGTGGCGGTGCGCCACAGATTAGTCTATGTGTGGGAAACACTGCTTGAACTATGAAAATAGAATAGGATGTAAGTTGCTGACATCACCGTTAATTAACCTGGCTTGAAGGGGACATACAGCTAATGCCCCTTGTTGCTAATAAGTGTGATCAGGAAGAGATTAGTACCTCACTCCAGCAATCCCAATTCCCAAAATGTAAATAGTTTAAAGATTAGATCAGTATTACTGTCATCATCTGTTGCTGGCTTAGTTGGCTGGGTGTTTCCACTTTCAGTTGTTTGATAAATATAATTAACATATTTTTGAGTTTACATATTTTCCTGCTGCTGCAATTAGGAGCACCTGATCAGTGAGATGAAGATTGGCCCAATTCACTCGGAGAGCGGAGTTGAACCCCCAAATGAACCAAACTCTCAACAAAAGTTAGATTTTTGAGCTTGTTTTCCTTTGCAAATTTTCATACAATGTAGTATTTGTTTTGCAATCTCCAGTAGCATCCCAGATGTGAACAACTCAATTCAGAGTGACACATAACTCAACTTGTGAAGAAAACAAGTTGTCACATCCTTCCTTGCCCATCCATCCTCTGTTTTTCTGACCCTGATCCCGAGATGTTCATGTCTCTGCACTTCAGAATCAGAGCTCTATGCCACCTCTCACTTCTTTTCTTGTAACTCTGATTAATGTGGCGAGAGCTAGTCTAGCTAGGTATAGACACCGGTGTCTGTATGTGTGTGTGTGAAAGTGGCTGGCTCAGCAGTAACCCAGACGAGCAGCCCGTGCACTCATCTATCCTCCCACCGACACAGACAGCAATCTGTGCAGCTGACTGTTTATGAAAGCAACTTTGTTTTCAACGATGACAAGGACGGCTTTTTGAGCACAAACTAAGAAAGATGTTATCATCGAGTTGCAATGGTCCCGTAAGGTTGGAGTGCACCTCAAGTGATCATCAATAGCTTGAACAGTTTAGAGTTGCCAATCCCAAAAGTAAAGGTGAAAGAAGGGTGTGCTGCATGAACGGTCGTAAATGAAGTCATGTGCTAACGGCTCCTTCACATATTCTGCGTACTTTGATCTATTTTATATTGTGTACCTGCTTCCCTAGTGGGATAATCAGATCATGTTGTGTGGTTGTTCTTAGCAATCGTAAAACATCTATTTATGGCAATATTCGTTAATACGATTCATAACACAAAACTATACCTGCACAGGTTCACCTCGAGCTGCTGTGCTGAGTTCTGTCCAGTCCATGGTCACTGGGTCACTGCTGCTGGTTCAATTATTTTAGCCAATCACTGCGCTTCTTCTCATACATTTACTTCATGTCGTCTTTGTCAAAAAGTTGTCTGCTCTACGTAAACCCTTTGTGGTCTCTGGTTATAATGCCCATTGGTTTTAGATTTGTGTTTATGCCCTATTGTGTGGACTTGTTTTCCTTAAAGATTTAAAAATAATTGTAATCCATGGTCCAGATTAGAAGAAGGCAGATAAAAATACATTCACAGAGCAAACATATCGGTCATGAAAACAATGGCTGTACCAGAATCTTCATCTCCTAAGCATACAACTTGTTTTTACTGTTTTTTAGTTCTAGTTTAGTAGGATAGTCCTTCGTTTCTGTGCCCATGTAATCACTTCCTGTTGTTGTGTTTTTCAGTGGAGCTAAAGTTCAACCTGGACCAGTATGTGAACAAGCGGTACCCAGGTTTGGTGAAGATCGTGAGGAACAGCAAACGCGAGGGTCTGATCCGAGCCAGGATCCACGGCTGGAACGCGGCCACAGCTCCTGTCGTCGGCTTCTTCGATGCCCACGTGGAGTTCAACAGCGGCTGGTAAGAAAAGACTGTTCAAAACAAACACTGGTGATAACAGGCGACGGCAGAGGGTGAGATGTGATGTATGGCTGTGACTTTCTACGTGAATTGGGTACAGCTCTGATTGCTACCCCTCAACCCAGAAACGGATTAAGGGGAGAAAAGTAGATGGATGGATGGTTGACAACAGATTGGAGGTTTGAAAGGTATTATGTACAAAGGATAAGTCACTTCAGTGTTTCTAATAAAAGATGTCATTTTATTATTATTATGTAAAATGGCAGGGAAAGTGTATTTATTTGTATAGCATACAGAAGGCAACTCAAAGTGCCTAATACAACTAGACAAATAATTCTAATAGACATTAAAATAATATATATATGTACCATTATAGTAATCTTAATTAACGCGTTAATTAAGATTAATAAACGCCACAAAGATTAGTGTGTTAAAAAAATGCACGCATTTTAATCGTATGGGACGTTGCCCTGCGGAACTACTGGATGAGTTTTAGACGGACCGATTGTACTGGAGCACCAACTCGAGCTCTGTGGCTTTTCTTGTTCAAAAGTACATTATTACAAGCTCAGACCAACTTTAGCGGTGTCTAAATCCCAGTGAGTTACAGACGGGAATGAGTGCTGTGTATGGAGCGATGGACTCAGCGAGCGACTCCTGTGAGTGAGCGGAGGCGGAGGAGGAGGAGCGAGACAGAGGTGTGTGTGCTGATGTTTAGTCCGAATGTATACATCAAAAACTTATTATAAAAGCTTTAGCAAACAGCGCATGTCCTGCTTCAGTGCTCACTGCAAGTGCCGAGGATTTTGGGAATAAAAAGCGTCTGTTGTTGTCACAGCGTGTGGAGGCGATGACAGAAACGTTATTTGATGGAAAGAAGTCCGTCGATCCCCTTTTCATCCACAATGAACATGTGTTGCTTAAGCTTATGTATTCAGTCATTATTCAATGGTAAACTAAAAATCCATGTGAAAAAAATTACTTCTCACTGTTCCCAGGTCAAATATTTATTTGCGATTAAAATGCTATTAATTAATTACAAAGAGTCCCAGCCCTAATATATATATATATATATATTATATTTATATATATATTAGTAAAGCAAAAGAGTGTATATTCATCTGCTCACGACTTTTCTTACATAAAGATATATGCAGCTGCGTAGCCTGCAGAGTGAGATAATTGTGTAACGTATTATTATGACTAAAATAATGCTTTATTTACAAAGGCCAATCAGGATCACACGGCGATCTGAATGCCAATGTGCAGGTTAAGAATCTACTCACGTAAAAAACATCCAAGAGCCTGAATTGAAAAACAAAGGCGTAGAGTTATGGGAAACATGGATTAGTATTTTTATCAGGAATAATATAATCCCTGATGTATCTGTCATAATCTGATTCGCAGACGCCCAGAGCATTTTGATGAAGGTTGAGTTTTTATGGATTATTTTTTTCCATGCATGTGTCTTTAATAAGATTTCCCTTTGTGTCCTATTAAACCAAGAGCAAAACAGTTATTGAAAATATGTCTTTTCAACCAGAAGAGGACGTAGAAAAGACCGTTATTATAAAGGAAACCAAAATGTTGAAATAGCTATTTTTCTCGAGGGCTCGGTGCTTATTTTGTGATATGGAATTACTTTTGGGAGTCTCAGTGCAATGTCTGCAAGGCTGCTTAAGTTTACCGGCAAACAAGTCTCTCAAATCTGTGTAATTGGCAGCTAATTTGTGGCTGTCATCCTGTCAACGCCTGAAGATGAAGAGTACAGGGAGCAGACTTCAGGCATAAGAGGCAACGAGTGCTGTCAAGGGCGGACGCAGAGAAAGAAAGAGGAAACCGCTTATAATGTACGAGGATTGTGGACACTATGTTATTAAATTCCCATGTGCAATAGACTCAATAGATTACCCGAACAACTATTCAAATGTAAGTAATGTAAGTAAGTAATGTTTATTTATAAAGCGCATTTTACAGACCAAGGTCACCCAAAGCGCTTTACAATGTTCAGAGTTCAGATATTGTTCCAATCATTCCACACACGGTGATGACGGAAGCGAGTCGCCGAACACACTGGACCATCAGCTCCAACCAACACCATCCATTCACTCTGTCTGTTACAGCCCGGCTCTGTGGCTGAACAATGAATAAGGGGGAACGACACAAGAACCAGATTTTAAGATGGTTGGCATTTATTGATAGATAATAATAAAAACAATATTACTGCGATCAGTGTAAGTGTAATATGAGTGGCTGCGTGCAATGCAAGTATTATCAGTCGGAGAACCTTATGTGTAAGAGTGTTGAATGAGGATATGTTACTGTTGTTATGTTCTGTAAATGAGAAGTGGGCTGAGGTGCGTGTGGTGCGAATGATAGTCAGTATGATACGTGTTGGGTGCAAGTGCGTGGAATATCAAATCATAAGAAGACACGTCTGTCCCAGGACGTGGTTGGGACCAGTGTGTCCGAGGGCTGGAGGGAGAGAGAGAGAGCGCCATCAGGACCGCCAGCCAATCAGGGCGGAGCTGAAACAGATGTCATGACGGGCGCGTAACACTCTTCTTTTCATTCATACCTATTGTGCATGGTTTTAGTGGTAGGGGAAACCGGAGCACCCGGAGGAAACCTATGCAGACACGGGGAGAACATGCAAACTCCTCTCAGAAAGCCCCTGTTCCTACTGGGATTCGAACCCAGGACCTTCTTGCTGAGAAGCGAAAGTGCTATCCACCTTGCCGCCCAAATGTACTGTCGTCTGCTACACCTGGAGGGCCAAATGTTAAATCCACAAAGTAAGAATTGCAGTAAAATAAATGCGACTAGTTCCATGCTCATAACTTTTTTTGTGGTATTTTTTGACCAAGACTCGTTGGGATAAACTATGTAGTTGCGAATCAGACAATAAATTGGTTACAGCTTTCCATCTTTTCTCCTATAGTTGTCCAGCAAGACAGAAACACACTAAGTTGTTGTTTACCATAGAAAATCATCAGTTATTAATGGTGTAATCCTAATTAACCTCACACATTATCACATTATCATATTGAATGTCAGTGTGTTAAATAACGTGTCTTAATGAACCGCTCCACTAACCCTCAATTTACTCCCTAATTGCTTTGTAACTTTGAATGTCTTCTTAACAAACACTCAAGGCCAATAGAGAGATCCTACGGTCACGTGACTAGCAGCCACGGCAGCCATACTGGAGGACAAGCCCTGCTAGCTATCTATAACTGGACGTTCAAAACTAGAACTCTCTCGAACTACATGAAAACTGAACAGAGAATTTGAAACTTCAGCAGTTAGTGACCCACATATATATTCAACCTAAATTCATGAATCAGATCCTCTGAAAATGCATCCTAAAATGTATTATTAATGTTTATCGTTACGTCCAGGTTTACCGCGGTCGCATATTGTCGCATTAAAACAGTCTTTTTTCATAAAAACGTGAACAGAAAATTCTGAAAACCTCTGTGCACGTGTATTAAGAATGTATATGTATAATGTATTCTCCGATTAACATTTAATGTGTTTATTGTTACACCATGGATCTATGTGTGGCTACACTGCAGTGGAAATAATGAGATTACATTCAAATCAATGGAGCTTTCTGCGTCTACTGTGAGGAGCCGTATATTTTATTAATAAATACTAGTACGGGGCACCCTGGAGCACGGCTCAGTCGTTCACATGTCTGCTGGCCTTCGGTAAGTCAGATACCCTGTGAACCGGGTGAGGTCCTGTGTGAGACCAAATATATAACAGCTATGCTACAAGCTAAGCTACAGTCTATGGAGCAACCCCACGTTGCAGTCAGACAGATATGTTTTATCCTTAAACTTCTGTTTGTTTCGGAATAACACTAAATCCGCCATCAAATTGATTTCACTTAGCAGAAATGAAATGATCCGAGCATATTCGGGCGCTCTGGGGGCTATTAGTTTTTTGTTGTTGCGTATGGTTGTGCCATTTCTCTCTCGTTTCTTTGAGATTTCTTCTGTTTTGGAGCCGTGTGAAGTAAGGACGGCTGGCAGTCGGTAACACAACTTATTTTCCCTGTCTCTCCTTTTGCTGCAGCCAAAAACGGCAAAAAAATTTGAACATGTTTATGCGGTCCCGGGTGCACGCCGCTATCATACAGCGTTTGTTTGTCCTCCAGTATGGCGGATGCCCCGCATGTGAGATATCTCTATACGATAATGTACAATTTTTCTCAACTTTTACTCCATAAAATTGAGGCTCCAACATATTTTACTCTGACAATCATTACATTTCTCAATCCAGACACTCAAATTTAAAACATTTACATATTTCTCTAATCTCAAAAGCAGTCATCTAGTAGGGCATCACACAATTGTGATTTGCCAAAAGTAGAACAGAAAAAAGATAAAAAGACTCACCGATGTTTACAGGTCCCAGATAATCAGAGTTTTTCCTTGTCAAAAAAGGAAGATCTAGAAATGTGGAGGGAAACATTGTTTGAAAACATGCATATATGGATATATCAATTAAATCTAGGTTCATTGGAAAAGCTACTAGAATTTAATATGCTGCTATCCAGAATATATAACTATAGTTTATTTTCCTTGATGGCAAATTACGGCCTTTATTTTTTTTAAATAGACATCTTTCTCTCGCTCTGAGCAAGCTAGCATTTGTGACGATGCAGTCCAAAACAGGGAAATCAATAATGTGTTTGTCTGTTCTTGTCATTTTCACCTAAGTTAGTTGTTCTAATAAAAACATGTTTTGCTAGCTCCATGCTGCAGCCCCGACTTTCGGGTGCGCCCAATTTGTTAAATCTACTTTCTTATACTTTTACTTCAAATTCCACTAGAAAACCTCTTTGGTAGCTCTTCCTCTGCTGAGAGCAGCTACAGGTTTGGCTAACATACTTTACATGTAATACATGTTAAGATAGAAAAGATGTAAATCATATGCTTCCAATGAGATAGGAATGATACGGACGGGAAGTAAAGGATAAGAAAGGATAT